AGGGAGCTGGGAGGGTATGAAGAGCATCAGGGATTATTGATGGGACTTCAGCAGAATGAAGTCCTCATGAAGCAGCGCAGGAAGAAAAGCCGACACCTTGTAGCTGCAGCTGGATTAGATGATCCGGTGACAGTTATAGATGATCCGGTGACAGTTAGCAGGTTTAGGTTGAACTCCTCCTTTAAACTCCTCCAGGGCCTCCTCTGGGGGTCAGGATGGAGCTCCTGCAGCCTCACCGGTCTCGGCCCACTTCAGGACCCAGACACAGGATGATCGTGGACCTGACAGAATTTACCACGGAACATGGAGCCCACTGAGTTTCCAAAAGAGCCGAAGACCCCGCAGAGTCTGTCTGAAGTCTGACGTCACATCAGGGCCAAGAAGAGGAACATCTGGATTAAAGAAGTGAAGGAGGAAATGAGTGGTTTGATGAGGAGGAGAAGGAGGAGGGATTGTAACTTGTAAGAAGAGTAGATGAAGACGAAAAGACAGATTTAGAGAGAGAGGAGTGAAAAATGTGGGGTTCAAACACACGCACCCTGTTTACAGCTTCTCAGAGGAGTGTGTGGCTGAAGGAGGAGGAGGAGGAGGAGAAGGAGGAGCTGCTGGGAGTGAAGATGGACGTAAAGTTATTCCAGCCTGCCCTGATTTAAATAAAAACCACTGTATCATCTGATCAGCTGAACTTCGGCTGTTGTAAATCCTCCTGCAGCTTGTGTGATCACAACAGCACACACATGCAGATTTACTGCAGCTGTCCTGCTTTATGCACACGCACACACACACGCACGCACGCACGCACACACACACTGTGTTAAACACGAAACGTGGACTGAGCAGAATCAAGCAAAGATGGCTGAACGTCTCCACGTTCAACACACAAGACTGTAAAATAGTATTGTAGCTAAATGCTAGCTAAAAGCTAAAATTAGCAAGGACTAGCTACAAGCAGAAAATATAAATAAAAGCTAAAGTAGTAAAAGCGTAGTTAAACGTAGCAGCATGACTAAAGTTCATCTGAAGGAACCACAAGTATTCTGGACCAGAACCAGACCAGAGGACAGATGAAAAGAACCGAAAGAAAAGTGAATTTCACAAAATAAAACAGGAAGTTTTACCAAAATAAGAGATTTATTGTAATTTCATCCCGTTAAACTACAGAGAAAACGCCAGACTGTAATCTGTAGGTCTCCTTCTGTCCGTGTGCGTCAGAACTTATTTAAATTCAGCCGATGTGGAGAGGATTCAGACTCGGTGAGGCCTGAACGAGGCAGAACTCTCAGGTATGGCAGGAAGCAGTCGGCGTGTGGCGGTTGGACAAACAGCGAAGCGGATCGAGTCGCTCTTCAGGAAGTGAAACATGATTCATGGTTTGTGAAGGTTGTGGAGAAAATCCCTTGTTTTCCTGCCAACAACTTGTTCTGACTAAGCGGCGTGGCAGCAGCCGACAGCGCAGCTGTGATGTGCCTTCTGACGCTGCCAGCTGACAAAAAGGTGGAACCACGGGCGCCGCCAAGGACGGGCTGCAGAACGGCGCCCAGAAATACTAAAAAACAGCCTGGTGTCAGAAACAGAAAGAAAAGTAACGTGTCTCAAAGTGTCGGGAAGCTCCGTCCAGATGGAGACTGCAGGAAGCCCGTCGCCAAGGTTACAGAGTGGCGTCACACACCTCTGCTGGTGATGAGACCCGTCTGAGACGTGGACACCAGGCCACGCCTCTGAACATGATGAGACCTGTCTGAGACATGGACGCCAGGCCACACCCCTGAACATGATGAGACCTGTCTGAGACATGGACGCCAGGCCACACCCCTGAACATGATGAGACCTGTCTGAGACATGGACACCAGGCCACACTCCTGAACATGATGAGACCCGTCTGAGACATGGACTCCAGGCCACACCCCTGAACATGATGAGACCTGTCTGAGACATGGACGCCAGGCCA